TATTAGCGATAATAATGTTTATATAAAGTTGATATAACTTTTGAATGTTAATAAGTCACATAGGAACCAACGTATCTTATATAATTAACTTACATATTGCAGTAAGTTAATTAAGTAAAGTGGAATTATTGTAATATGAAAAGAATTAGTGTTTTGTTAAGGTAATTATGTTAAACTTCCAGAATTGTTATTAAATTTAAATAAATATGTGTGTGGAAGATGGGAGAGAAGCAACGAAGATGGAGGTACGGGATGGTAACTAACTTTGAATGTTTATTCTGATTTAATAATAATAATAATAATAATAATAATAATAATCTTATTTACTACCAGTACATGTACAAGGTATACAGACGATAGCTGACATCAATGACATACTACTATATACAAAGTACCTTGTTATATTGAGCATTAACTGCAAATTAGGTCAGTTTTGTCCCAGGATGCGACCCACACCAGTCCACTAACACCCAGGTACCCATTTTACTGATGGGTGACCAGGGACAACCAGTGTAAAGAAACACGCCCAATGTTTCTACTCCTTCGGCGGGTGAAGCGAAAGTTTTGCCACCAGGTCACCGGGCACCGTAATAGTGGCCGATAGAAATATCTGCGAATTTCCTACTACATGACAAGTGAAGAGGAAATACACTTGGAAGGATCCAGTTATATAATTAAACAAAACCATAATGTTGATATGGATGGAATATGGGAAGCCGTAACTGGGTGTCGCGATGTTGGTTCTATCTTGTGCACTATAATATTAATATACACCTCCTGGTGTTGTTTAAACCCCACACAACAAGTGAGGTTAGTAGAGGTTGGCCAATTTTGTATTCAGTTTGCCTGTAAGAGGTATCGGGATATACAGTGTAATAAATTGGTAGATGTATTAATTTGTTATAATATACGATTATGTGCTTAATAATTGTAAAATAATATATCAAACAAAATTCTCAAATCAGTCAAGTCCACTTAAATTCTTAATTATACAATCAACTTAAAAGTTTTATTGGCGTAAATTTTCATTATAAATATACAGGAACCATTTGTTCCTAATTTAGGATCCCGGAACTACTTGGGAAGGTGAGACGGTGGGCACTGAAGGAAGGACATTGTGACCCAAGTGCTCCTAAAATCCTACAAGTCTCCAAGATACATCAACATCAGTAAGTTGCAATTTGGTTTAGTGTAAAGAGTTCTTCCTCGAGTGTGAGTTGAAGGTTAATTCGATATTATGGGAATTGAATAAGTGATAATGTCTTTCTTAATGCTCATGTGGGACACAGTTGAGAGTTGCTGCAGCCTTGGTGGATGGATGGAAAGTATTTTGTCCTTACTAACAGAGACGTGGAAGTCTCTGCTAAACTCACTTAACATTATCCTGATAGCAGAGAGAAGGAGCAGTCTCTGCTACACTCACTTAACATTATCCTGATAGCAGAGAGAAGGAACAGTCTCTGCTACACTCACTTAACATTATCCTGATAGCAGAGAGAAGGAACAGTCTCTGCTACACTCACTTAACATTATCCTGATAGCAGAGAGAAGGAACAGTCTCTGCTACACTCACTTAACATTATCCTGATAGCAGAGAGAAGGAACAGTCTCTGGTACACTCACTTAACATTATCCTGATAGCAGAGAGAAGGAACAGTCTCTGCTACACTCACTTAACATTATCCTGATAGCAGAGAGAAGAACAGTCTCTGCTACACTCACTTAACATTATCCTGATAGCAGAGAGAAGGAACAGTCTCTGCTACACTCACTTAACATTATCCTGATAGCAGAGAGAAGGAGCAGTCTCTGCTACACCCACTTAACATTATCCTGATAGCAGAGAGAAGGAGCAGGCTCTGCTACACTCACTTAACATAATCCTGATAGCAGAGAGAAGGAGCAGTCTCTGCTACACTCACTTAACATTATCCTGATAGCAGAGAGAAGGAACAGTCTCTGCTACACTCACTTAACATTATCCTGATAGCAGAGAGAAGGAACAGTCTCTGCTACACTCACTTAACATTATCCTGATAGCAGAGTGAAGGAACAGTCTCTGTTACACTCACTTAACATTATCTTGATAGCAGAGAGAAGGAACAGTCTCTGCTACACTCACTTAACATTATCCTGATAGCAGAGAGAAGGAACAGTCTCTCCTACACTCAACATTATCCTGATAGCAGAGAGAAGGAACAGTCTCTGCTACACTCACTTAACATTATCCTGATAGCAGAGAGAAGGAACAGTCTCTCCTACACTCAACATTATCCTGATAGCAGAGAGAAGGAGCAGTCTCTGCTACACTCACTGAACATTATCCTGATAGCAGAGAGAAGGAACAGTCTCTGCTACACTCAACATTATCCTGATAGCAGAGAGAAGGAACAGTCTCTCCTACACTCAACATTATCCTGATAGCAGAGAGAAGGAGCAGTCTCTTCTACACTCACTAAACATTATCTTAATAGCAGAGAGAAGGAACAGTCTCTGCTACACTCACTTAACATTATCCTGATAGCAGAGAGAAGGAGCAGTCTCTGCTACACTCACTAAACATTATCCTGATAGCAGAGAGAAGGAGCAGTCTCTGCTACACTCACTAAACATTATCCTGATAGCAGAGAGAAGGAGCAGTCTCTGCTACACTCACTTAACAATATCCTGATAGCAGAGAGAAGGAGCAGGCTCTGCTACACTCACTAAACATTATCCTGATAGCAGAGAGAAGGAGCAGGCTCTGCTACACTCACTGAACATTATCCTGATAGCAGAGTGAAGGAACAGTCTCTGCTACACTCACTTAACATTATCCTGATAGCAGAGAGAAGGAGCAGTCTCTGCTACACTAACTTAACATTATCCTGATAGCAGAGAGAAGGAGCAGTCTCTGCTACACTCACTAAACATTATCCTGATAGCAGAGAGAAGGAGCAGGCTCTGCTACACTCACTTAACATTATCCTGATAGCAGAGAAGGAGCAGTCTCTGCTACACTCACTTAACATTATCCTGATAGCAGAGAGAAGGAGCAGTCTCTGCTACACTCACTTAACATAATCCTGATAGCAGAGAGAAGGAGAAGTCTCTGCTACACTCACTTAACATTATCCTGATAGCAGAGAGAAGGAACAGTCTCTGCTACACTCACTTAACAATATCCTGATAGCAGAGAGAAGGAGAAGTCTCTGCTACACTCACTTAACATTATCCTGATAGCAGAGAGAAGGAGAAGTCTCTGCTACACTCACTTAACAATATCCTGATAGCAGAGAGAAGGAGAAGTCTCTGCTACACTCACTTAACATTATCCTGATAGCAGAGAGAAGGAGCAGGCTCTGCTACACTCACTTAACATTATCCTGATAGCAGAGAGAAGGAACAGGCTCTGCTACACTCGCTTAACAATATCCTGATAGCAGAGAGAAGGAGCAGGCTCTGCAACACTCGCTTAACATTATCCTGATAGCAGAGAGAAGGAGCAGTCTCTGCTACACTCACTTAACATAATCCTGATAGCAGAGAGAAGGAGCAGTCTCTGCTACACTCACTTAACATTTTCCTGATAGCAGAGAGAAGGAGCAGGCTCTGCTACACTCACTTAACATTATCCTGATAGCAGAGAGAAGGAGCAGGCTCTGCTACACTCACTTAACATTATCCTGATAGCAGAGAGAAGGAGCAGTCTCTGCTACACTCAACATTATCCTGATAGCAGAGAGAAGGAGCAGTCTCTGCTACACTCACTTAACATTATCCTGATAGCAGAGAGAAGGAGCAGTCTCTGCTACACTCACATATTTTAACTATCTTTAAAATCAATACAACAGCCTCTCGAAACATGGGAAGCAATAGTCTTATTAGAGGGAGTGTAGTGACTGCTTCACAACGTAACGCAGTACTGTAGAGTAAGATAAGATAAGATAAGATTTCGTTCGGATTTTTAACCCCGGAGGGTTAGCCACCCAGGATAACCCAAGAAAGTCAGTGCGTCATCGAGGACTGTCTAACTTATTTCCATTGGGGTCCTTAATCTTGTCCCCCAGGATGCGACCCACACCAGTCGACTAACACCCAGGTACCTATTTGCTGCTAGGTGAACAGGACAACAGGTGTAAGGAAACGTTTCGAAATGTTTCCACCCGCCGGGAATCGAACCCGGGCCCTCCGTGTGTGAAGCGGGAGCTTTAGCCACCAGGCCACCGGGCCACTATACACTATATACCAGACTGCTACATCTTTTGTAGGGAAATAAAAGAAACTATGTAAGATGTGGTTACTTGTCCTCTCAACGCGGTGTCTAGATGTTGAAGAGCTCTTAAAGTAAGGAACTGGCGCTAACTCTTCTTTCCTTGGGTCAATCCTGATGTCTTTCCCAGGCGCTGTGACACCACTACGGATAGCGCATCCATCCATATGAATAAAATAATAAATGAAAATCTGGTTGCTTGGTGAAGAACATTTGATTGTTGATTCACTCATTTACTTACATCACAAAAAGCTAATATTCACATATTAATTGTGACAGATCTCGTCGTAGGCCTTATCTTTCATGTTAAACAACTTTTTATTACAGTCAGGCCTAGTGGGTGTACGGAGGAGTGAGTGATTACTAGAAAAAGTTGTTTGACTTAATTAAGGAGGCCACCAGGCCATGGGCCTGCTGGCAAACGCTCTCCCTTCACACGCTGAGGGTCCGGGTTCAATTCCTGGCAAGGGTGTTTCCTTACACCAGTTGTCTATGTTCATCCATCAGTAAAATGGGTACCTGGGTGTTAGTCGACTGGTGTGGGTCGCATCGTGGGACCAAACTAACCTAATTTGCAGGAAATGCTCTGCATAGAAGGAGCTTATATAGTAGTATGTCACTGATGTCAGCTATGGTCTGTAGATTTATTATATAATACAATAAAGAACAATTATCGTCTGGCTAATTGTGCAACATGGTTTACCTGCTGAGGATATTTTATAAATCCTAATAATATATCAACACTGACCTTGTTTAGATGAAGTGATGAATGTTTTGTTTGTTTCAAGGGCGTTAGAATCGTGGGTGATGCTCACTTGGTTTTCAGTGGCTGTAGTGGTGGACTGGGTGTGAGTAGTGGATACTTCCTGGGTAAGATGACCGTCCCGCGCGGCAAGGAGAAGGTCTAAGTAATCGCCTCTTTTTTGACCTGCCTTCCTGGCGGCTATGGTCTCCTCTACCACACTTATGAAGAATTTCACACTAAAAGGCTCTATTTTAATGCCAATAGCATTGCAAATTTTTGGATACATATTCAAAAAGGTAAATTTTATCAGCCTTATCAATGAAAAATCAAAGAATGTTTTTGCCAATTTGGCAAACTCCGGCACCTCGCTCGTGAAGGAATTACATTCAATACCAAAAGCACAGGAAGCAATAGTGTCCATTGTGAACCGTCCAAAATTTACCTTCATATCAACATAAGGTTTCTGAGAAGCTTCTTTAAGAGTAAAAGATACAAGAGAGTCTGCCTTGTCACAGATGAGAGGGAACATGGAACGCATCTTGCCGGAGGTGAAGGTTGGTGTCATGACGGCTCGGAGAGCCCTCCACTCGTCTCCAGTCTTGTTACTCAGCATTTCGTTGATAAGACTTCCATCTTCAGCCATAAACAGCCGACGGTCGACAAAATGATCAAAATCTTTAACGAGGATGTGCTTGAGTAATTCGGGATCGCCAATCATTAGAACAGGGTGAAACATATCGTATAATCCACTCATAGTTGACCCTCCATACTTGTAGTAAACCTGTACATATAGGCAGATATTATAATTTCACCTTACCCAGAGAAAATGCACATCAATATGAAGTTTCTATGTCAAATATGTTGTTTTGGAGAGTAATACTGGGAGACTTCAATATCTGTTTTCAGCAGCAAAATAACGGGCTATGCAAAAGGTATAAGCAAATTCTAGGTTTAAATAGTTTACACTCAACTAATTAATACACCAACCCGGATCACACAGTTCTCAGCCACCCTAATTGACCACATACTTTGTAACCGCGCTGAGAACATTAGTCAGTCAGGCGTCATTACCACAGGCCTTAGTGATCATTTCATCATTTACTGCACCAGGAAAATCACTAGGGATATGATAGGCCTACACAGGACAATAAAAATGAGGTCAACTAGAAACTACAGTAAAGAAACACTGGTAAATATGCTACACAATTGTGATTGGACAGAGATAACAAGTTGCACGGACGTAAACGATGCCTGGGAAAAATTCAAAACAATGTTCACTACCATCCTTGATAATATTGCACCAGTTAAAGAGGTTAGGATTAAACGAAGAACTGAACCCTGGATGACTACTGAGATATTAGATAATATGAAATTCAGAGACCAGCTGCTAAAAAGATTTAAAGCAAACAAACAGGATATTGCAGCACTAAATGAATTCCAAAGGGTGAGGAACAGAGTACAGAGACTTTTAAAACGAGCAAAGGCAAGCACTATTGCACAAAAATTGAAGAGTATAAGCATAACCCCAGAAGTCTCTGGCAACAACTAAAACAGTTGGGGTATAACCATAAACCAGTAGATAGGTCTAACATAGTACTCACTATTGATAACGAGGTATACCACAAAACATCTAAGGTGGCAAATTGCTTTAATTCCTACTACACACCTGTTGTATCAACACTAGTAAGTAAACTACCAGCTGCATCAAATACGTTTAACACAGACTCTGATAAGTTTCAAACATACTATACCAATAAAGGGGTAACCCCAAACAGTTGTCAACTAGTAAGTGTATCTCATGACTTTATTCAAAAGGAACTAAGCAGGTTAAACCCAACTAAGAACACTGGCCCTGATAACATCCCGTCTAAGTTCCTAAAAGATGGTGCTTCTGAACTGTCAATCCCTATTGCTCACATAATAAATTTATCCATCACCACTAATACCGTACTGGAGGGGTTCAAGGAGGCCAGAGTTACTCCTATCTTCAAGAAAAATAGTAGGCCTGTTAGTATGCTCAGTATATCCAAAATTCTATCATTCAGGCTTTAGAAGATCCTACTCAACCGACACCTCCCTAATTAATCTGATGGATAACTTGAGAACTGAAATGTCAACGGGGAACCTCATAGGTATGGTAACCTTAGACCTGCAAAAGGCCTTCGATACTGTCAATCACAATATATTACGTAAGAAACTTCAAGTTATCGGTATAGGTACTGTAGACTGGTTTAAGTCCTACCTTAGCAACAGGAGACAAATTGTCAAAATCAACAAAACAGAATCACAACCCCTGCCGATAGCATGTGGAGTTCCCCAAGGTAATATTCTGGGTCCCTTATTATTCTTATGTTATGTCAATGATATGCCTATCAGTGTCAAGTGCAAACTCCTCCTGTATGCAGATGACAGTGCTCTGTTAGTATCAGGTAAAGACCCAGAAGATATAGCTAATGTTTTAACACTGGAACTGGAGTCCTGCAGCAAATGGTTAGTAGAAAACAAACTATCATTACACCTCGGGAAAACTGAAGCTATTCTCTTTGGCACGAAACAAACTGGGAAGAGTAAATAATTTTAATGTCCAGTGTAATGGGGAGCCCATCACTTCAGTTTCCTCAGTAAGATATCTGGGAATCCCCTTTGACCCAAGCATGTCAGGAGAATTGATAGGGAACAGTGTAGCAAAGAAAGCGAATGCCAAACTGAAACTCCTCTATAGACAAGCACAGTGTCTACCTACTGAGGCTCGCAGGACCCTATGTCTAGCCCTTATACAGTGTCATGGTACTCTGCCTTGACAAAAAGAACTGAAAGACTGCAAATCACCCAGAACAAAATCGTAAGATTCATCCTGGGGCTGGGACCAAGAGAACATGTAGGCCAGGATGAATTACAGCAGATGGATATGCTGAATGTTGAAGACAGTAAAACAACTGAAGCTAAATCATGTTTATAAAATTGCTCACAGTGTCCAGAATATCTTGCTGCCAATATTGTCAAGGTTGGGAACCAAAGCAATCATAGTACTAGGGGGAGAGAGCACAACTTTGTAGTACCCACAGTCAGTGGCCAGGCTTCAAACACCTTTTATTGTACAGCAATAAAGGAATGGAACACACTACCCGCACATGTCAAAGTCAGTCATAGTATGAACCAGTTCAGGAAGTGCGCCAAAAGGTGTCTGATGAATGTAGCTACAGAAAGGGAGGAGAATGATTTTCTATTTTTTTAGCTAACACATACAATTTTACCTTATTCCTAGTAATGACCCACGTATTGTAGATAGTCTTAATGACCCTCGTATTGTAGATAGTCTTAATGACCCTCGTATTGTAGGTAGTCTTAATGACCCTCGTATTGTAGTCTTAATGACCCTCGTATTGTAGATAGTCTTAATGACACTCGTATTGTAGATAGTCTTAATGACCCTCGTATTGTAGGTAGTCTTAATGACCCTCGTGTAGTAGTCTTAATGACCCTCGTGTAGTAGTCTTAATGACCCTCGTGTAGTAGTCTTAATGACCTTCGTGTAGTAGTCTTAATGACCCTCGTGTAGTAGTCTTAATGACCCTCGTGTAGTAGTCTTAATGACCCTCGGGAGTGTCTTAAGACCCTCGTGTATAGTCTTAAGACCCCCGTGTAGTAGTCTTAATGATCCTTGTTAGTAATGTCTTAATGAAATTGTATGTAGGGAGTCTTTAAGACCTCGGTAGAGTTTTTAATTTTA